GCTGTACCCCTGCAAATCCTTGATTAAAGCAAAGCATAAAATGCAAAATTCTGGACTATCATTTCTACACTTCAGGTTCAAAAAGTTGGAAAAGCTTGGTTCATATTCATCAAGAAAAGGAGTTTTTTAAAGGTTTTGCAGCTTGGATCAAACAACACCCTGGAATCTTGTGCCTAGATTCTAAAGCTACCAGATCGGTAACAATTGCAGTTCTACAATAGGAGGTGAGCGGCCTAAAAATGCCAGTTTCCCCTTGATTAACGTCCTAACCCCGACTACTAGGTTGAACGAGTCTAGGGGTGAGATAAGGGTGTGGCTAGTAACTGATGGTCGTGAACAGTCTGGGTGAATCACTTCCAATACAGCCTTAAGTAGAATTAAGCTAACGTCATTTTGGGTAAAGCTCAAGTGCTAGATTGGTCCGTTATACCCCTTAGAGGAGAGGCTGCAGTGGGGTTTTGCCATAACTCATGTGGTAATCTCACTGGTTAGACCAACAAGTGTGTGACAAGGGTCTTTATGTCCAAAGCTGTTTAACAGTTTGCTTCCAGAGCTGACAGTCTCCTATGTTAGGTAGAAAAATTAAATTAAATTAAAGACAAACAAAAAGCTTAGTGCTACTTATTGTGCCATGCTTTATAAAACAGTTATTGACTAAAGGATTTACTCATGTAGGTAAACATAGATGTTTTAAAACCTGTTAAAATACACCAGAATGCAGGAAATAGCAGCTACTTTATTCAAAAAGTTATGGGAGAGGACCCACACACCTCGCACCAATATGTCCCCCCTACAATAATTCTAATGCTAATACCCACTGTGCTGTTCAAGCCAAGAGCCATTGTCAACACTGGGAGGCTAAGGCCCCTAAAAAGGGCTTCTAGAATCGCCCCTGGTGTGAGAAAATGAACTGAGAAAAATCAACTCTTGGCCTAAAATTTAACACAACATAATTGTACACGTCATATCTTAAATCTAAAACTAAAAGAGTTATTATAATATATATGCAATCAGTCTTATAAAAACTGGGATATTTTTACCGGAGAATGCTTTCACTAACGAGTTTGTTGTTGTACTGGCATGGTTACAGCCGACAGTAACTACACAATAAAGTGATGGTTATTCGCGTTTTCCTCGATTTCAGTATCCAGCAGGATCTTGCCCCTTCTCGACTCAATCTTGGAAAAGTATTTGTATTTTGATTTCTACTTTTATAGAACCAGATCTTTTACTTTACTTTGAACATGTTTTGTTTGGCTTCACAGACTACCCAACAGCTAAAGAAAAACAGTTCTATATTATTAATCTCATTGTATACCTAGCCAAATGGCATATTCATAAATGTCGATACACTAATCAAAAACCTCATCTCCATTTTTGAAAATGAGGTCAAACAATACATCAAAACTATTAAATATTTCACCAACACGAAGGCCATAAAAACTTGCACCTTATGTGCTCTCTTCAATATATTTATGTAATATGTTATTGTAAATTATTGTCTCAGTGTTTGTAACCCCCTGGCATCTGTTATATCATTACTGTATACTGCATTTTATTGTATTGTTTTGTACTTTTTCAATAAAGTTTAAAAAGCAAAACTCTTCCAGGCTCTGAGACTTTGATCATCTTCCATGTCTACTACGGTGGTGGTGGTGTTCTTGTTGTTGTTGTTCTTGTTCTTGCTGTTTGCAGTAAGCAGCTATTGAAAGCACCCCAGGAGTAGTTGGGGGGGATAAGGTGTGCTGCTCGGAGACCACTAGATGTGCAATGAATGGGGATTGAACCTGGGACTTTAGGGTCCTGAATTGGCTGCCCTGCCTCTGCGCCATCAATAAATGACATTCAACATTTACTTTAATGTTAAAAGAGGACATTTAACCACTGAGAGACAGTCCATTTCTTTGTCTCCTCAGCAGGTATGACACTTCTGATGTTGTCTCTGGTTCAGAAGAGGCAGGACTCAAAGAATGTCACGTTTTGTAGCTCATGTCTAGGAGATAATCAGCTGATCAGGGTGTGACACCAGGAGTTTAAAATATTCAACCTCTTCATCATACTAATTTTCTGAGACACTGGTTTTTTTCATTATTTATAAGAAAGGATTGAAATTTTCACTGTGTAATAATCTATGTAAAATACTTAACTTTGTGAAATGACTGAGGAAAAAAAAAATCCAGCTTTTTCAACATACTTTTTAGACACGCACACGGTAGACATCTTGGATTTTGATTTGGCAATCAAATTTTCAAGACTTTTTTTATGCCTGCAGCCACACTCCAACATGGAAATTGGCATGCTCTTATTTTTCAAGATGTCCAGCTCACAAGATGGACAGATGGACATATATGGCAGTAGCCATCTTGGATTTTGACATGGCATACCAATTTTCAAAAAGACCTTTTCTTACGACCGAATGTAGTCACGCTAAACGTTGGTTACGTACTGTAACCCCAAATTCTATGAGTATAGGTGTAGCCCTTTAAGAGCTGTTGCTGGTGGGTTTATCCCATCATGCAAAGCATCGCACTGAAAAAATTTAGTCCACACCCACCTGTTGTGTGGGCCCCACTCGGTCCGTATAAATTACGTTAAGAGCAAGTAATCGGCTCCCAAATAGTTTTTTTCTTCAGTCATTTAGGAGCCACTGATGCCCGACGCTTAAAGGGCTACACCTATACGCATAGAATCTGGGGTTACAGTACGTAACCAACGTTCTATTTCGTATAGGCTTCACCCTTTAAGAGCTGTCGCTGGTGGGTTAAAGGCGAAGCAAGATGTGGTCTCCACCTCACTGGGTCCATTCGAACACCATTTGAAGCGCCCGCTTGCCCAAAAAACGTCTCGTCACTCAGCTCTCCATGTGGATAAATACGCATTGCGTAATTACGCGC